TATGAAAATCAATCCCAAACATAGTTTCAGCAGGAGCATAATACACTCCAAGAAATCAGGGAAACGCGTTTTCTATTTGTTGTGTTCTATTAAACTTAACATCATCCTAATGCCAAGATGGCACAGGCTTTATGCCCAGGAATCTCTTAAGCCTGATTTATGCTTCTGCGTTTTCAGAGCGACGCAGACGCAAGACCCCCTTGCGTGTCCCTTGCTTCGCTTTTCACACCTCCTTGCGTCCTTGCATGTGTCGAGACATTTTTCTAGGTTTGCGTCAGCAACGCCTGCCTCCCGCAGCGCACCAGGCTGCGATTGGTCCGCTAACTGCATCCTTTACGGAGTCTCACATTTCCGCTTTCAAAGCCCGATACCGCCATTATTAAAACAAAGAATGTTTACGAGAGAACGGATCAGATTTAAGAACTTTTGTCGGAGGAAATGCGCAAATATGACCGCTTATACAAGCAGTTATTGGCGGGTTGTATAAGCGGGTTGGATTCATAGAGGGAGATCTCCACAAACGCCGGTTTGCCGGTCGAGAGGTGCACAAAGTTGTGGAGGAAAATACGGGACAAATGTGTCCGCGATGAAAAGCAGCAGTGGCGATGCACGGGGCAATAAAGTCTGAGAAATAAATAAACAAATAGACGTGACTCGTCGTCTTCAACAGAAACACGTCACTCCGCCTGTTGTTCTGGAGGTGAATTGCTCTGCAACACACGCAAGACTTTTAGAAGCATGAATTGAAATGAGTGCGTCGATGCAGAAGCATTTTTTAAATTGTCACCTCAGCAAATCTGCCTATTAATTACGCTGCGTACCGCCACCCACAGGCAGAGGGGAGTATTGAGCCTTCATACCACCAACAGCGCGACGACACACACACAAATTGGCTCTTTTTTTTTTTCATCAATGAAGTGACAGTATGTAAAAAAAGATTTTTTTTCACGGCACACCTGACAGCCTCTCGCGGAACACCAGTGTGCCGCAGCACACTGGTTGAAAAAGGCTGGTCTATGGTGTGCGAGCGTGGGGGGGGTGGGGCGTCCACGTTGTCCCGTTTTGACGTGAGGGACGTAACAAGCCTCATGTGTTCTCGTCATCCAGCTGTTCAAGCTAGCGTTAGCTCGCTAATAACAGCAGTAAAGCAGTTAGCAAGAAAAAGACACGTTTTTATTTACTCGCCTCTTTTGGACCATTCATTTTTCAATGTGGTGTCTGATATTTTGTGCTTTGTCCCATATCAGTTATTGTTGACAAATATACTTGTGTGTGTTGTACTTTTTAATGCTGTCATATATGGTAGTCCAGTGCGCTTGCGCATATACTGTGGGTTATACGGTAGTTGATGTTATGCCTGTAAAGGGAGACACATGGTGATCCATTAAATCAACTAAGAAGTCTCTAATGCATTTATTTACAAATGCCATTTTAAATTCATCTCATAGCACTTGGTTGTTTTTTAGCTGTATGCATTTACTTAACTTGCACTACAATGATGGTAATAATTTAATGAATATGCTTCAAGTGAACATGAGGGTGTGTTTGTGAGTGTAGTATAGAGAACTAGTTCTGACGAATTTGAGGTTCTGTTTTAGAATAAAGGGTTGGAAATTAAAGCTTTTTAATGCCGTTTTTTTTTAAATCTGATTCATCGATTAATCGAAGAAATAATCAACCGATTAATCGATTATTAAAATAATCGTTAGTTGCAGCCCTAGTTGGGGAACAAATCTGCGATCCCCCAGTGATTCCTCCCACTCTCGTCGCTTCAGAGCTGGAAGCGAGAGTATCTAGAGCTGCGTCCGCCATTCTTTCTCTCTCCTCTGACTGGTTTGTTTCAGGTTCACGGACAATCAAACCAACGATGGCAGCGAGTATTACCCAATCAGGGGCAGAATAGGACCAGTCTAGGACGAGATGAGGACAGAATTTGGGTGGGATTATTTGCACGAGATGCTGTATTGATGACTTGGAAAATACGGGACAAACGCACCATCTTATTCTAAAATATGGGACGATTCCGTATTTTAAGGGACAGGTGGAAACCCTAGTTTGTGCCCATCGGGGTGGAACTTCCCCGTGCAAAAACATCCATGGATAATTAGATGGTAGGGAACACTGGTATTACATAGTTGTGGTACAATCAACGGACGCTGCTTGACTGACAACAGAGAGATAACGGCAAACGTAGCGGGGGAGATAGGACACAGTCCCAGCCAGATTGGAACCGGGGACGTTCCAATTAATGGTCAGTCATGACTGCACATTATTAGTTTGTTTCAGTACGGCGTTTCCTACAGTACAATATTGGTAACATAAAAACAGGGACAACTAGCGATCTTCATAAGATAGCCAAGTGCACAAATCCATTCAAGTAGCATACTGTTCAACAAATGGCAATCCAACCGTAAATTTAATTTGACCGCTACAAAAGCTTTTCCAATCTGATCCATAACAAGATGTTCTTATTTGTTGCTACTAACCTAGTATGGATGGAATATCATTGTTGTATGGCATAGCTCAAGTTAAACCCTTTGTAAATTATGATGAATCAACTGGTAACAACCATCTTACAGTCTTGTCACAGTTGAGTAGCATATTTATATTTTGTGGCCTTTGGAAGCTCACAATTATTGGGGGTTGACTCCTCACCATGAGTTCAGATGGAACAGATATCTAAGGCATTCCCCTGTTAGTCCAGACCTTTTCATAACGCTGCATATAAACTTCTTTGTTCAAGGTCTTGGCTAACCTTTTTCCTTCATAAACCAAAGAATCACCAAAATGGCAAGTTATCATTATTCACCAGCTCTCTGTCTTTGACTGAGGGCACTGTAGATAAACTGCTCCTGTGCTCCTTACATGCCAGAGCGCACGTAGGTTATCCGCGAGCAGCAAAAGTCCAATGAATCTCCCTGCATCCCACAGCACACAGAGCTTTCTGTGCTCATCTGTCCAGAACACACTGACTCCATTAAAAAGGATTCATATTTTTAACAGAAACGTGCAGCAACGCATCTGGCAGGATATATAGGGAAGTCACGGTCAGCTTGTTACAAGTTACAAGACATGTGTGAGTCTGTTGTCCTAAATTGCAACGCTTTCAAGACGTTCACACCTTACTTAAAATCAAAGCAACCACAGATTGAGTACCAAAAGACACTGGTGTCTAAAAACTGTATAGACGGGATAGAGGAGAAAAGCAAAGATGGTCCATCAAAGCCACTGTGGCCGACAGCCATACAATTCTCAGATGGGCACCAAGGTCAAAAGGAGGGGTCACAATGGTCAGGGCCACCATAAATTGTTGGGGGAACCTAAAATATGAACTTGTTAATCTAAATCAAACAGTGTAATCAATAGTAACACTTTCAAATACTATAAATTTACACTAGTATAGAGATTCCGTGGGATTGATGTGGAATACATGACATGGAAAAACAACTGATGATGCAGCCCACACAGCGATCGGACCAGTGAGAACTATTCTAGGATAAAAAAACAGCACAATCCAACAAATCAAACCATACCCTCTAAACTAAAAAAATATCATACTAGTATCTTACAAGACATCCATGCAGAACACCATAAAGAGCTATTTGTATGGACGAGTCGCCATTTTAAGTTGTCTTGGCCGTGTGGTGAAGATGGAGGTACAGATGATAACAGCGGACTCAATTGGGCTCAAGCACATGAGAACAGCCAGCTGGACAAGGTGAGTACTGGTTGTCATGGTTGCAGAGTGTCCTGCTTCCAGTTAAAAGTGGCACAAGCAATTTACGGGTGTCCCTACCCCTTAACGAGTGCTATCAGCACCACAATCGGACTGCTCGGACTTGAAAGCAGCAGCTACTAAAAGCAGTGCCTTGACTTAGTATGCAAAATAATCAACAGCAAACCACAGAAAAATCATGGGTAGACACGGACGATTACAGTGTCCCTCAGCATGTTGCAGTGGAATTGTGACCTGCTATTTGGAAGCACTGGTCAAGGCTCCATTTGGAAGCACTCCATGTCAAGGCTTTATTATTTTAAATATCAATTGCTAACCAACTCCAGCTGCATTGTAACAAAGCTAGTAAGTACACAAATCCGGCTTAGAATGAGGTAGTCATGTTCAAAAGGGGATGTCTAAATCATACTGCTGTACACTAATGAATATGGGATGTGAAAAACAAACCATATATTTTAGTTTAACACAACTGTCTAAAAGAATGGACTCTTTCCTCTTAACTATCGTAATCTAAAAAAATAAATTTAAAAAAACATTGCAAACTGAGGACAAATGTCACATTGACGGAGGACTTCCTGATGTGGGGGGGGGCTACACAGAAGTAGGATTTAATAGGTGTGTGTAGATAAAATTATAAACATTTAAATTTCTCAATATCACGGTGAAATTATTGTAGATATCAAAATTTGAATGTGCCGTGTCACTCACTACTTTTTATTGTTGAATATATTTGGCAGGCACGATTTTTTAAATATATAAATATCCGAGTAATTATTGTCAGTCTGTTAAGGGAAATATAGTGAGAGAGAGGACTTGAGAAAGTATTAAATGGGTTTAAATACTACCCCAAACTATTTCATACGTCTTTTTCTTGGTGATATTCCTAAAAGGAGACGAGCATTCGAATTACCCCATCCTGCCGTTAACTGGGAAAGGACGGTGTGTGTGTAAAAACCTAGAAGTTGTGTGCTGCAGCTCTTATTGTGACATTGTAGGCTATTGTACCTTTAGCCAGCCTGGATGTCATCACACAAAAAGGAAACCAAAAAACACAAACAACCTCAGCAGCGGTTAGGTTTGCGTCTCTAGACACGTGTTGCAATGATTTACATTGACGCCGGCTGAGGTTCTGGGTGACGCTAACTAGCTAGCGTGCCTCGCACGGTATAACGTTAGCCCCATGCTAGCTAGCACGGACAACCGTTAGCTAGGTAAGGTAACGTTAACGACTCCCCTGCAGCTGGTCCTTAGTAGGACTTCTTACCAGATCAGTGCTCCGTGTTGCTCCGGAGTGCTTCGCCGCCACGTCCTTTGTGGGTCTTCTCGGCTACACGGTCCGTGTTTAAGTAATCACTTCCAAGGAGAGGACATGTCGGCTTTCTTTGTCGGTCTACGAAGACTACCCCCCTTGCCGATGGCGTCCGCCAAAATATCGTGAGGAGATCCTTTTTTCTTCTCCTTCTTACTGGATCTTGACACGAGGCGGGATCAGCGCATTCATAAGCTAGTTCTTATCCCCGGACGACGCGGGCTACACGGCTCCTTGTGCCCCGCGTATCTTCGTTGGACCCAAATCCGCATCCATTATCGGTGTTTGCGCAATCTCAGACAATGTATCCGAAATTGTGCGTACCTTATACAACCGCCTGGATAGAACCAATAACAAGGTGCGGGTGCCCCGATAGAGCCCGCCCTTGCATGTTCTTTGGTTGACACAGCCAGCAACGGTCGGGGCAGCAGCGCAACTCCTTCCGGGGGAGCAGCACCACGGTTCACGTCTGGCTGCTGCAGCTGCTCCTGCACCCACTGCGTAGGTAGGACTGCTTTGCCCTCGCAAGGAACTGTGCCGATCAAAGAGGTGCTAAAAGGGGCTTTGGACCTCCCCTGTGCAGCACCACTCAGTTCATGCTATAGAGTATGGTCGGAGTCACTGGGAAACCCGTCATTCTGACATGCCTACCTGTCTGCTGGACTGGATGCAGTCCGTCTCTAACGGGTTAAGTTGCACACCACCATTTTGTGTTCAAGGCATGCAGTAAAATGGCGCCACTTGTGCTTCTTCTTCTGGTCAACAGCAAAACCCCTTTGGGTGGTTGCACATAAGAACCACTTATCATGTAGGAAAAAAACACATTGGTTTTGGAAAAAGAAAAACACCTACAAACTATTTTTATGAAACGGGGTGAACAGCACCCTCTGAATATGAATTCTGTGACAAGATGGTGTATTTTGCTCCATTTGTGAACCCATCATGTTTACTTCTTTTTACCTTAGACTGTGCATATCACAGAGACATTGTCTCTGTCACCGAATTTATTTAAGTGCATAAAACAACATTATGATAATGAATATGGAACAGCTTTCTGTCCAAGTCAGACAGTATTACCCCTCAACCGGCCACCCAACGATACAGAACCAAGAGGATAGCCTTCTCTAAAGTGCTAGTCAGTTACAGACTGCAGTAAACACAGGTCTCAATGGGTCTGCTCCCTATATGTGGCGCATGGAGTAGAGACGTTGGCAGTTCGAACCCTGGCTGCTCCATGTCCCATGTCGAAGTGTCCCTGAGCAAGACACCCAACCCTTAATTGCTCCCCAGGCAAAATGTAAAACCATGGGTTATAAATGCAATGTAAGTCGCTCTGGATAAAAGCATCAGCTATATGACATGTAATGTTTCTTTGTGACAGCATATCTATATTGTTGGGTATTCTTGTTTCTCCCATATTTACTCACTCACTATTGTCAAAATTAAGCACTGAAGTTAAGATCCATATTCTACAAGCTGAACACTCGCCAGTAAACCCAAGGATTGTTAAAATCACTACACTTTACCCATAAGGCTGTGCTTGTGGCTTGGAAGTTTCTATTTCCAATCAAACTGGCTGTAACATACTAAGTAGGGACAGAGAAGGAAACACATTTCAAAATACCTAATAAGCCCTCTCCCTACCATTCAGTGCAGTCCCTGGCCTAGCTAAAAAAATATATAAAACAGCTGAATAACTCCCAACTGCACAGGAAACTTCCCATCTGTCACCAAGTACTGTAAGAAGTCATCTCTACAAGGTCATATGCTTAAGGCAGGGGTTTGTGGAAAAACTCAAATTCCGCCTTTCTGACCCTAGCACGCCGGAAAAATAATATGTAGAGGGCCTCTCACTCAGAACTATGCACTGAGACATATTATTTCTTATGGCTTATGCTCTTATGTAACTTAACCCTGCTCTGAACAGTAGAAGTGAGCTCACCCGTTGCTGCTGGAACTGCAACACTTAACAGAGCACTGCCCCCTCTCTCCCACAAAGAAAAGAAAACTCTCCCCCCAGCTTCTCGGGAATCGTTTGCACCACTGCACTGGGCGCCACGTGGTGCCTATCTCTACCACTCCAGGTCTGGGGAGCTAAACCTGACTCCCTTTCAATCAGCCGGGCGCGATGTAGTCGATCGCACCGCCCTTCCGAACGGCGTTCGCCCATCTCTTAGGACCGACTGACCCATGTTCAACTGCTGTTCCCCTGCTGAACCCTTCTTCACTTCAGCATTCAAAGTTCTCGTTTGAATATTTGGTACTACCACCAAGATCCGCACTAAACCAGCTACTAGATGGTTTGATTAGTCTTTCTCCACTATACCCAGGTCGCACAGACCTCTGGTTTCCCACTGCCCAGGCATAGTTTACCATTTTCCGGGTCCTATGGAACACGTTCATTCTCCACTTCCAGGCGAGATTAGCCAGTGGTGTACTCGACTCCGAAAGGCCAGGATCCAACCTCTGCCGTCATTCGCCAGATTTCACTTTTATTGCGCCACGGGGTTTTTGACCGTGTTTCAAGATGGGTTGGGTGGGTTGCCAACCTTGCTGCTAACCCTTTTACGAGCCTTTTGCATGAGCTGATCAACACCCTGGTGACACGGGGGGCACTGAGGACTGTTTGCGCTGGGAGCATGGGGCACCGTCCCTCCCCGGCGGGGAGTGAGGGCACAGCGAGCACTTAGCCCATGGCCCCCAGAAGCACCGAGGTCCACACCGGGGCAATGTAACAAAAGTGGCTGGAGCTGCGAGCCACCTTTGCCCCGAGCCTTTCCAGCCCGACCGAAAGGGATTTGGCACTGGGCTCCTCCCTCTTTGCTTGCCATTACTGCAGGATCCGTAAGATGCTTGAATTCAGAGGGTTGCCTTGTCTAATCTGAGGTAATAGTTGAATGAGGTGCTACCTCGGAGGGCACCAGAACGGGGGAGAGGCTCACGGACCGCTGGAGTGGTGCATTTCAATTTCAAATGTGGTCTACATGACAGCATTTTAGATAAATAAATAGATAGATACTTTATTGCATTTTGACTGCATTTTAGGGTCATCAAAATAAACGGAGTGATGCGGGGAACTTGATTTTCACATATTTTTTTGCCCGCATATGCTAGCTATTTGTCTGTAATACCTGATAACTGATAACAATAGTAGAACAAGCCTGTGTGCTCACACACGCCCTCTTCAGTAAGGCTGGGCTACTGCTGCCTTCCTTCCCTGCTTCCTCCCTCCATTTTCACTGCAACGTTATGTCAGCAAGACTACAAGTCTACAAACATTCCATTGGTGATATTGAGAGATCAATTGCACATACTCATAAGTAAAAAATGAGCAGCTCCACCCAGATTGTGAGGGATTATGCAATCCGGGAGGAGGCGCAGCTCGTCGCTGCCCCCGTTTTCGCCTTTCCCGTTACCTAAACAGGAAAAAAAAAATCAGCAATATTGAGTCTAAAAATTATTAGAAAGATTGTAATATAATGATTATATTTCTATCACAGATCAGTGAACAAATATACATTTTTTAAATCATTATTTGCTTTTAACATTTCATTATGACAGACCTCCACTGACTGCATGTCCCTGAGCCAGTACATAGTTCTTCCAAATAGAACTAAAGAGAAGGATATTCAGTCTGTATGTGCGTATGTCCTGTGGCTATCTATTGCACACAATGCAGGTGTATTGTTTATTCATTATGAATAAACTGTGATTACACAAGCTACTTAACCTGTGCAATAGATGTAGCAGCAGGCACAGCACTTTAGGGCTCTACGGACTGACTGTTGTCCACAACGGGTCTTTACAGCCTGTGACTGCTGCTGGAATTCATTTTACAACTAAGTTGTTCTCGTCCAATGAGCGATAGCCTTCTGTTCCAGCGTCTTTTTGCTTCAGCAAATCAAATGTTTAAGGTGGCCATAATGACACACAGACCAAGTTACTGCCATACATTACTAAGCTTATTGAATATAAGGGACCTGAAGCCAATGTCAGGCTATAAAGGGTTGAACCGACAGCCTAAGGGGGATCAAAAGTGGGTGAATGAAATGAAGCTGTTCATCAATAGGTTTGACCACTCCTCCACCCCTCCCCCACCCAAAGCTCCTTGCTGCTGCAACCCTTATTGTCTTAAGGCTGGCGCATGCTTCTGAGTCTGCGTCGTTGCGTAGACGCACTTGTTTCAATTCATCGTTCTCAAAGTCTTGTGTTGCAGAGCAATTCACCGCCAGGACAACAGGTGGAGTAACGTGTTTCCGTTGAAGACGACCTAGAGAGTCACGTCTTTGTGTGTGGAAGTCGTTGGTTTGTTTATTTATTTATCATAGACTTTATTGCCCCGTGCATCGCCACTGTTGCTTTTCATCGCGGACACATACGTCCCGTATTTTCCTCGACAACTTTGTGCACTTCTCGACCGGCAAACTGACGTTTGCGGCGATCTCCCTCCATGAATCCAACCCGCCAATGACGGCTTGTATAAGCGGTCATATTTACGCATTTCTTCCGACAAAAGCTCTTCAATCTGATCCGTTCTCTTGTAAACATTCTTCGTTTTAATAATGGCGTTATTGTGCTATGAAAACGGAAATGTGAGACTCCGTAAAGGATGCAGTTAGGAGACCAATCGCAGCCTTCTGCGCTGCGGGAAAAATTGGTCGACGGACGCAAGCATGCAAGGGACACGCAAGGGGGTCTTGCGTCTGCGTTGCTCTGAAAATGCAGAAGCATAAACTAGGCTTTAGCCTGTCTCATTAGCCCCTGCTTCATAAATCTCTACTCCCCTCCACACTCCTCAAACACGGCACCTTGTGCCAAGCCCCTCCACCACAACAATCTTCAATATCCAGTCCCCACTCTCTTGTCCGTGTCTTTCACAACCAACCAGGTGAGGATAGAACTGAGGAATATGAAAGTAAGGAGGCCCACGGCTCCAGACGGCAATCAGCTTAAGGCCCTTTAGATCCTGTGCAAACCAGCTGTGTGGGATTGTGGATCAATTTTAGCTTGAAGCTGGGAAGAGTACCACACCTGTGGAAGACTGCCGTGGTACCAGTAGTAACGATCCCACGGCCCAAGGACCTCAACAGCGTCAGACCGGTGGCCTTAACATCTCACCTATGAAGACCTTCAAGAGGCTGGTCCTTAAACACCTCCACCTTCTGGTGAGGTCATTTTGGACCCCTTTTAGTTTTCCTACGTGTCTGCCCCCCTCATCTACCTCATAGAAAAATGCCTTTCCCACCTGAAAAAGGCTGGAAGCACTGTGAGAATCATGTTCTTCTCGAGGGCCTTCAACACCGTCCACAGTATGTGCGGGTGTGGAGAGCCCACAAGAATTCGTCTGACTCCATCCCTTTTCTTCATATACACCTCAAACTATACAACGCTGCTAACTGACACCTGCAAAATTGTCCGAGAGCATCGTCTGCATCGTGAACTGAACCAAGTCCTGGTTCAGTTCACTGAAAATGGTGCCAGCGGAACCACCTTCAGGTCAACTCTGGTATAACCTTTTTTAATTTTTATTTTATATTACTGATATTTCTAACTGTTTTGATCTTATTTTTTTACTCTGTGCGCTTTACCCTTTGCTGCTGTAATCCTGTACATTTTCTCACTGCGGGACAAATAAAGGATTATCTTATACTTTGTAGAGTGGCAGTTATGTTATTGACTGGCAAGAAATGAGGGGAGCATGAGTAGGGGAATGACATGACAAACCAGGCGATTGGGGGAAAACCAGAAAACTTTGTTTTCCCAAAGTAAAACTATTAATACCACAGTGAAAAGCCTGCATTTTTTCTTTTTTCTTTCTAGAACTGTAGTGTAAAAAGAGTGGCTCTTTTTAGCACAATGTGCTCGTCTAGGTCAAGCTTAACTGTTGACTCTCTGTTAATGCTTATTTTAGGGATTACTAATCACCATAATACTAATTGTTCAAATTTGTGGTTGGAAGTGGTTTCACTCAGGACCCAGGAAAAGAGTTATGTTGTTATGAGCCAAGAAAGCTGCAAACAGCAATACAACGTGCCAAGCACCTTCAGAGGGAACACCCAATGAGTCGACTGTATTGGGTATGTTTCATAAAAAGTCACAGAACCAGTATCGCTGCAGATTCAGAACAGCACTCTGTAATGGAGCGAATCAAAATAAAACCATTTTGTGACAACTGATCATTGCAATACTTTGGTTAAGAACTAAAGCATGGTTAACGGTCGCTGTAGTGAGGCTGGTGCCAGGCCTCCGTATTTTTTAGGGGTGTAACGATTCATTCACTGAATCGATTAATCGATTTATATTCATGCGATCCAACTGAATCGATCTGTGCTCCGCAAATCGGCATTCCGGACGACATATATCGATTACAAATCGATTGAAATGGTACATAATCAATTGTATCGATACTTGGAAACTGCACATTGGATTTAAGCACAAAAACGGTATGGATGTGTGTTTGTTTGTTTTTTAGCACTTTAGACCCGTTAAACGTTACTCGATTCAGTCTGCCTGTCTGTGACGTCATCAGTACGCAGCGGCAGCCGCGCGAAACTCGGAACAACAACACACAGCGTGGAGGAGAGCAAGACATTTACAAACCAACTTATCGATCCAGCGTGTGGAAACATTTTGGCTTTTGCACGGAGGTGTTCTAAATAAGTCGGTCGCTGTTTGTAGAATATGTAGAAGACAAATAAAAAACCAGGGAAACACAACGAATCTTTCCGGCCATCTACTAAGGCGCCGTGGGATTAAACAACGGCGACAGTCAGGCACCTCTAGCAGCGTTACCACTGCAGCAGCAGCAGGTTACTCCAGCTCTGCAGACACCTCAGGCCTCGCCAGCACCAAACTCAACATCACAGTAACAATTGCCAAGTTTAGCTGTAAAGACGTGCGACCCTACAATGTGGTTGAAAATCCAGGGTTCTGTGAATTGATCCAAACATTGTGTAATTGTGTAATGTTTACATTGAAAATGGCACTTGATTCAAATAAAAGGTTAATACATTTGCCATTAATTGTTGTTTGCTTGTTTATAATATCCATAATTAATTTAAAGTTACTGAATCGATTTCAAGTCACGGAATCAAATCAAATCATTCTAAATTAACCCAGATTGTCTATGAATCGAATCGGCAACCATGAATCGCGATTCGAATCGAATCGTTGTTAAAATGAATCGTTACACCCCTAGTATTTTTGCATGCAAAATGATAGCAGTTTTTATAATGCATTACACAGCATTATTACAATTTTATTACAGAAAGGGGATTATTACAATCCCCTTTCTGCTTGTGGAGACTGGTTCATTGCATTTGGGTGCTTAAGCATCTTCCCAGTGGATTTTGTTTTTATACCCTGTGGCGTCGGGGAATTATGCAGAACAGCTGCATAATACGTACAGATACGTTGCCAAATTTAAGGATAATCAAAGCTGAATAGGCATTAAGTCTTACTGTGACAAGCCATTCTAGCTCTATTACTATATCTGAAAAGAGCTTTGCTGAGATTGCATTGATATTTCACAAGGGATTTGGCAAGAGCAGTATAATAGTCATTTAGCTTGAAACATTTGGTCACAAAAGTTACAATATTGCATAAGTTTGATTCTAGGCATTTAGTATAGCGCACGCAAAAGGAAGCTGTCCACATAATGTGTCCTTTTTGTGCAGGTGTCACCAAGCCAATTACTTATATTGGACACTATTTTTTACTACTACGTTTGAGTTAGTTTAAGGTCTCATGGACTCCGTATAGCGGTTTGCATTGATGCCTAGCACTGTCTTTTATTACGGAGTGTCAAACATATTGCCAGTAGAGGCTGTGAGATGTAATTGCATTAATAGTAATAGTTAACCCAGTAGGGTTTTCTTATAGCCAGACAACTGTAAAAAGGGAGTTAAAGCAAAACTGGTAACAATTTATCTGTACAACTTTAATGGCACAATTAAAAATACACGGACAATGCTACCATTTCAAAAGGCAGACATGCATATACCACTTATTACAGGCAATATCAAAATTGGTATAATTGTGAGTAAAAGGAAAAAAATGTAGTAGCATGATTAACAGTAACAGCACGGGTAGCTAATTAAAATACAAGCAGAAGAAGCATGCTCATTGTTGCTCGTAAACAATTGGCACAGTTTACTGTACCTGTAGCCTGTGGGGGAATACATGGTTTAAACTTGTATTTTACCTATTTCAAATATATGCAGTTTGTTTTTATTTATTAAATACAAAAATTTAACTTGGTATGCTCCCTTTCTCCCTAGTCTCTTGATTTCTGAAAATCCCTTAATATGCTTTTCCCTTTTAATGGCAAAGAAAATGGGTGTTAAAAAGTAGTCATAGAAGTAACAAACATTAAACTTTACATCAATACAGTCATTACAATATCCGCAATACTAAGAGTTCAAAAAATGGAATTACTGAGCGATCAATTGTGGGCAATAACAATAAATAACCAGTGGGTCTGACATCATAATTACCCATTGTTTTCTGAGGCATGAGAAGTCTGGTGGTGAAGAAACGCGTCCAAGCATGAGAATGTCTCCGTGCACTCGGTGCATTCATAAAGAACCTCTGAAGAATTTCCTTTATCATTTTCAGTATGGTCCATAAGGTCATCCTCTAGGTCCTTTTCTAAGAGATGGGCCCCACTGGAACCAGTGCTGCGAGAGGTTTGTCCAACATAATCAGCTTTTCCAGTGCTGGGATGATACTGAAGGTGAAGCTCCAGAGAGGAAGGGTCCTTGAATTGCGCTGGACACCTCGGACACTTAATAGGTTCCTTTTTATGATACCGCAAGTGCCGTTGGTACACACTTAAGAGCCCAAATCTTTTTCCACATTCCTGACACTTGTAGTTAATTCTGCCTGCTTTTCCTGATTGTTTCTCCTTTTGGATTTGCTCTGGTGATGCCGTTTGTTCATTGTCAGAGGAGCTCTTGGTAATCTCATCAGGCGAGCTTAGGTTTTTGTCACCATTAAGAAAATTGGGGACAGGACCATTATCTGGATTTGTGTATAATTGTTTCAAACCTGGCTTCTTCTCCAGTTCAGTTTTGTGGTACATGGCTACATGCCTTCTCAAATCACAGCGCTGTGGAAAATGTCTACCACAAAATACACACTTGTGCATAGTACCCTTATGGTACCTCATGTGCCGAGATAAACTACTAGAATGATTAAAGACGCGATGACAGTGCTTGCAAGGATGCAGTTTGCCATTTGGGTTACTCGCTCTTCTACGTCTGCCCTTGGGTGGCATTCTTCGCTTAAAGGTTCTTTGTGATTCTTGATTCAGCTGATCGATTTCCTCCTGAGTTTGATGTGTGAGATGATGCTCCTTCAGAGCTGTTAATTTTTGGAAACGATCCCCACATAAACCACATCTGTATGGTGTGCAAGACAATTCAGAATTAATCTCATCACTAGGATCCCTCAGGATCTTATTATGGCCACTCTTAACATCAATAGATGTACCATTACTGTAGACATGTTGAAGCGGTGTGTCTTCTATCTTCTCAGAATTCACCACAATTTCAATTTTAGATGCCAACGTAGCATCAGGCCCTTTCCCTTTGCAATGGTGCAGTGAATGTGTCTGAAAATCTGACATCCAGAAAAAATTGCACTTGCACTTCCTACAACTATACATTTTCTCATTTGTCTTTTCCTGCTTAGTCAAAGATTTACTCAAAACTGAAGCCTTGGTTACGAGGTGATTTTCTTTCTGATGAGCATTAAGTGCATCCACCTTAAGGAATCTCTTACCACAATGACTACAGCAGTGAAATCTTTCATTGGTATGGTCTTGGAGGTGTTTCTTAAGGTCCTGCCGCCCTTCAAAGATCTTACAACACAAAGTGCATTTATATCCTCGCTCTGTGTTTCGATATTGCTGGTGACGATGTAAACTCTGTAGGCTGTTAAATGATCGGCTACATATTTCACAACGGTAATGGCCCTGACGAGACTTGTCCAAGTTTGAATCTGATGGCCTTGGCCTGAACACATCTCTGTAAGGAGACGGCTGTGGCCGGAGGGTTGGAGATAGTGGTTTAATGGGGGATGGAAAATGCGATGGCAGGACTCCAGGAGATACTGGTTTTACAGAAGAATGTGGCTCAAAACCATTCACAACTGTCAGTGTACCATTTTCTTGAAGCACGTATTCTCGAGGGACTTCAAATCCGTTGGAGGAGCCATCCAAGGAAAACGACTCCAGAGGTCCATGAATGGCCATGTGGACCAACACATTGGAGTACTGACTGAACCCATCCCCACATTCCGTGCAGATGAAGGTACTCGATTCCCCACTCAACTGCGTTGAAGCAATACTGTTCACAGATTTCTGATTTTCCATGATTAAATTGTTTTGGCGATGGGCTGATGGCATCACTCTTGAATCTGCAGTATTAATAAAATCTTATCTGGACAAAAACAAAATTGGTTTCCATAAGATAATTATTATGACCACTCTTCCAACAGACTTTCTCAAAAGATGTCTTTGCCAGAACGGTCATCCTAGGGTTAGGGTTTTCATTCTGTGTCGGCACCTGGGGGGATAAAAACAAGAATTAAATCTCAAACAAATTAAAAAATGCCAGACTACAATGCAGTGTTACTGTACATTAATTCTAAAGCCTTTTATTTGGCACTTTTGTCGGTGCAATCTTGGATTACGTTTGTTGGCATCTTGACTTCGCAACCAGCAAACAAAAGTCAATGCATTGACTTGTGGCCATGTGATTGGCTGATTAGCAAGTCGTGTTAACAATCAATTGAACACTTGTACCTAATAAAGTGGCGGGTATATAACATTTGAAATGCAATTAAAGCAGTTAGATCCTAAGATTGACTTGAGTCACTGTCTTGCACTAGTAAGGGATTTGCTGATTTCTTGATCTTCAGGAACCTTCGCAAAAACATCTGTACATCAAATCAACTGGCAGAATCAGACATTTTGGTAAAGTAAAAACGCAGACAGATATGCAAAAAAAATGACCATTTTTTTTGACCATGACATATTTAAAAGGGGACCTGAACAGTAATTTTGTCTTTTATATAAGCAGCAAATAATTAAGAGGATTTATTTTTGAACACTCATGGGTTTAAATGGAACATTAAAGAAGACAGATGACAGATTGTTGATATATCAAACTATAAGAACAATAGAAAACAGCTAAAATGAGAGAGAAACACTACCACCTCTAATACAGAACAGATCCTGTCAAATCGTAGAAACAAAGCATTAAATATCCACTAATTATCCAATATTCTCATTGCTTCATCAGTTCTAACGTGGACTTTGGATACCGGGGATGAATAAATGCTTCTACGCAAACATTACCAAGCAATGACGTGCAGGTGACATCATTAAAATACAAGCAGGGCACCAGAGCTCATCCGTTGTGAGGACAGTGTTATAACAGATCAGCATAGCGGCGTTTAGTCTACAGAAAAGGTTTGACATGAATTTTTCCGACGACACAACGCAACGCTTCTGTATGCGTGTGATTGTGCGAGCATCGGCAGCAGCCGAGTGCGTTTAGAATCCGATGTGTACAGACAGCGAAAGGTTCCACAAACGCAGCTAGCCGACCATTTACAAGCCCATGGTCAATCGAAACGAAAACGCACTCGCAAGATCTCCTCGAAAGAAATGAGGCGTAAGCAGGCGACGCATTTGTCTCAAGCAGACGTGGAGTTGTGCGGCTGCCTTAAATGTTGTGGTCAGAAGACATTTAGCTTTAGCTGCTGCTAGCTAACGCTACTTAGCAAAGAGAGAACGGCACGGCTCTTCTCTCATAGCCACACACGTCTGAAATCAACCGATTAGCTGGACGCGGACGCTACTTACCGCGTGTTTTCGGTGCATGCCAAAGTACCGCGAATTTCATGAGCAGCAACCGATTAGCACTGCATGTTAGAAGATGACTGTCCACCGCTCCAGGCCGGAGGAGCCTTCTTCTTCTTCTTTTGCTTTTTATGGCGGTTGGCAAACAACTTTCGGGTGCATTACCGCCACCCACTAATCTGGAGTGTGGACTTAAGGAAATTAAACCTCTACTAGAACTAAACCAAATCAAAAACAAAACAAAACAAAACAAAACAAAACAAAACAACAACAAAAAACAAATTTCTCAAATTCTATTCATTAGTCTTGTATTCTCTAAATATGCCAAAAGCAGTTCCCAACACTTGTCCCTAATGTCCTTCTTCAGTATTTTGCTTATATTTGCCTCTCCCAGCTCTCTTAGCCCCTTTCTCTCTCTGCCTCGTACCTCTGACATGCCATCAAAACATGATCCACAGTTTCCTCTTCTTGACAGTATTCGCACCTTCCATTTCGATGTTTCCCAACCGTATAGAGGGAACTGTTAAGACCAGTATGGCCTTTTCTTAGCCTTGTCATTACCCTCTCCTCTTTTCTATTTCGTCCACCAGCTCCTACACTCTCAACCAATGGTTAATTGTTAAACAGATATCTTCCTTTGCTCCCTTTATTCCATTCATTCTGCCATATCGTTTTGGAGTGGCAAAACTTCAGACTCGTTAGCACTGCACATGAGTCTGTCCAATGGGGGCCATTCTGTTCCCACCAAGCATCTCATTACATTTAAAACCTTTTTACATTTATTAACCACTTTCTCAATATGTCCCTTCCAGGTGAACTTCGCATCAAACCACATTCCTAAAAATTTGTACGAGTCCATCCTTTTCAGCTCCTTCCCATATAAATACATTTTGCCCATTGTCCCAATTGTCTTTCTTGTAAAGAAAAGGGTATTTGTTTTTTCCACTGAAAATCTTAATCCCCATTCCAATGACCACTGTTCCACTCTTTTGATTGTTTCATGCATCTGTTTCAGCACATATTCCACATTCCTACCTCTTTTCCACAGTGCCCCATCATCTGCAAATAAAGATCTCCCTATATTATGTGCAACATTTTCATATACATCATCAATCATTATTGAAAACAATAACGGACTAATCACACTTCCCTGCGGTGTTCCATTGTCCACCAAATGGCTGGCCGACACACACCTTTCCACTCTTACTTCCATTGAGCGCCCCACCAAAAATTGTTTGATCCATCTGAACATTTTACCCGATTTTCCTAATTTCTTAATTTTGATTAATAGTCCCTCTTTCCACAGTAAATCATACAGTAATATATTTCCTGAATATAATCTGAACTATAAAAAAAAAAAAGGTCCCTAGAAACCACACAAATAACTTTGGAAAGAATATTATTTGAACACCCTGTACACATGTAGTCGACTAAAGTTAAGTCATCAAATATAGCTTCATCGTCTTAAACAAGATCCTATCGTTGCGATATGTACTTATATATAAACTTGTACACACTCTTTTCCACTGAAAATATTCTTAACGTATTTATACATATTCACAAGAAGGATAATTTACCAGCTCCCTGACTACACAGTTGGAAAAATTGCATATCGATAAAATGGTGAAATAAATATATATCACAGAAACAGCTTGTTCTTTTGAGCTTTATTTTTTGCAAAAAAGGTTTAATGGTCTACATGAGAAACAACTAGTTGAGTTGTCTATTTAACAGATATAGAAACACAGGGGGTAGGCGGCTTACACCCCTGCTACAGAGGTTGGTAAGCAGAAAACTAAAAGTAAGATAACAGAGGAAAGAAGAAAAAAAGAAACAAATACATTTATTTAAAGTAATCCTTGTCTTGGAACCTTGGAATCTTATATTGGAGTGAAAGCAACAGGGGAAATCAGGATGGTTTTACTGTCACTCTACTTGACTTGGATGTGGTATAATAGCAACAGCATATGTGTTTGCAGTATTGTAAAGGACGTAAATCAGTCAGTGTGCTCCAAGGATGTTTTTTTCCTCCTGCTGAAGCTCTTGATCTGAGAAGCGTGATGTGTAGAACAGCTCTCTCTACTGGCTGAAACTAAAATGACAAGAGGCTAAATACTACCTTGATAACGATTCCATTTACCAAGAACCAGGCCGGGCAGTGGACAACGAGAGACATAATGTTAAGTGAATTGTCGTCACAACATACAACATAGTTGTGAAAGCTGCAGTAGTTTTTTTTTCATTTATTTTTTGACACCTATTTTGACAAAATTGTATAATTGTACTGTAAGCCAATTTTCTTTTTTGCTGTTTTTTTACATAATTATTTCATGATTCTTTTACGATTCATCATCATCATTGATTCAAATACACACCATATAAACACATTGGTATGAAGCCTTTAGAGACAGGTTGCTACATGTCACAATATTCATACCAGTCTTACGTTTTGAATTGGTTGTCGTTCAATTTTTCCTTAGCGGTGTTCTGTGTGACAGTTAAGCCACATTTCTTTTATTAAAATATTACAGCCTGTCCTTGCCTCCAATTATTAAACATTATCAAGCCAACAGTACTAATTCAGATCAAACATTTTTCTTTTTTTTCCACACAGGCACGGAAATACGGTAGTACCACATTACCACATACTGCATGTTACATAAGATAGAAAACACAAAGTACAAAATGCTCATGCTAACCTACAGTGTTACAACAGAGTAACTATCCTAACGTAATACCTATTTTGAAACAACTGCTGGGTTCTTTTGTACAGGGAAATCCCCTTTAGCTACAAACTGAAGGCCCCGTTGTGATTCAACAAGTTACCAACAACAGAACTGCAGATATCTATTGTATTCATTTGTTCTGTATGATTTCTAAATTTTGCCACTACGTTATTCACAACTTTTTGAAAAAATATAACCATAAATTTGTCACATTAGATTGTTAATACTTCAGGTGTAATTAAAAGGCAGTAGTCTGATACCTGATCAGTAAACAAACCATGGTCAAATTACACAAATGAATCCATATGACGCGGAAGGGCTTCAGTCTTGGATAATCTTTAAAAATTGAGTTTTAAAAAAAGAGCATCAATTTATTTAACCACGGATTGTTTTCCTTTATGTCATGAGAAAACCTTATGCTTCAGTATTACGGGACGACATCTCTCTACTCTGGCTGGTGTCCACTGACTTTGTGCCACTGTGAGTGCCAGACACCTCTTCCGTGAAGGCAGTCTCCAAAACATTCAAGATGGATTTGCGGACTTTATCCTTGAAATCTTGTCCCATAAACACATACAGCAGTGGGTTCAGGCAGCTGTTGAGGAAGGCCAAGCCGCTGGTTATAGGGATTCCAATGGTGGTGACATGGTCTAATGTCTCACTTCGATCAGAAAGTAGAGAATTTGCCAATTCTATTAACACCATAATGTGAAAGGGAGCCCAGCACAGGAAGAAAGTGGTGATAACAGCAGCGATGATCTTGAAGGAGCGACTTGAGTGGCTGGCCAGGGTCCGGTTTCTTCTGATGTGATGGATTATGACAGCATAACAGGAGACAATGACAGTGAAGGGGACAACTAATCCCAGGAGGAAGCGGGTGATACCCATGGCCTTAAAACGAAACAGTCCCAGCTGAAACACAGACTCGTTCTCGTAATCGTCAGAAAGAGCATAGTTGTTGTAGCAGTTAATGACATTGTTATCGTTAAAAGATGGAACAGTGTCCCTGAAGACAAAGTATGGAGTGCTGAGTATCAGAGCCACGACCCAAACCCCCAGACTCACAAAGGACGCCTTGCGTACATTTCGGTGGTTCTGGGCCCAGATGGGCCACACCACAGACACACATCTGTCCACACTGATCACCACCAGAATGTAGACACTGGCATACAAGTTCAGAAAGCTTATTGTGGTGTTCAGTTTGCACATGAATTTGCCAAAAGGCCAGTGGAAATCCAGAGCTGTGTAGGTGATACTCAGGGGCAGAAAGACTGTGAAGAGGAAGTCGGCCACAGCGAGGTTGAGGAACCAAACCGTGTTAACTGTTTTCTTCATCTTGAAGCCGGTCACCCAGATAACCACACCGTTGCCGAGCACACCAAGAACAAAGGCCAGGCAGTAAACAAGGAGAGACATGATGTGTAGACCCTTTCTCAGCTCAGCATACTTGTCCTCATATTCATACTCATTGTCGCCATCATTCAAAGAGACGTTCCTTCCAGTGGCGGCTGATGTGTTGATGTGATAGAAAGGGGCAGCAGTCATCTTGATCAGTATTTGGGCTCTGTCATAGCAACATGGAAAAACAGTATTGATATGTTTTTCTTTTATTCAATAACAGTCTGAAAGTATATTATGAACTCTGTGACCAAACACATTTATCCATCCATCCATCTTCACACCGTTTATCCTGCACACAGGGTCTCGGGGGGGGGGCTGGAGTCTATCCCAGCCAACTTCGGGCGATAGACAGGGTACACCCTGGATTGGTCGTTAGCCAATTGCAGGGCTACACAGAGACATACAACCATTCACACTCACATTCACACATCTACGGGCAAGTTGGAGTCCCCAATCAACCTGATCCCCAGAGCATGTCTTTGGACTGTGGGAGGAAGCAGGAGTACCTGGAGAGAACCCACACAGACACAGGGGGAACATGCAGACTGTACACAGAAAGGCCACTGGGCCAAACACATTTAAATTTAATTTAATTTGAACTTTCTTAGAAACAGTATTATAAGTCTGTTGCTAATCCTGTCTCTTTTTTAATGAACAGTAAGATGCAAGTATTCATCTTTAAATAACATTTTTTAGAATGGTTTTAATCAATATTCAACAATTTATGTATTATTATAATATCCTAAATCAAGAAAACAACAACGATTTAAATCAATAAGGGCTGAAGTAATTTGTCAAAGTCAAAGTTCATAACATTCCTCGGATTCAAAGCCAAATATTACACAAAAACTAAATTGGCCAGGTCAGAAAATATGAATACGTTGACATCTGGCTTGCTGAAAGACTGTTTAGTTTAATGGTTTTGTAAAACCCTTGTTGATCAACGGCAGCTGAAGCTTGGCACGTAGCAGCGTCCATCTGAGGATGTTAGATAGTGACATGTTGCTGCTGTGGTTCACTCACATTCAACAGTGGCAATTTATATCGTTCGAAGAGCTACACGGCCGTTTACCGACACCTGTTGCCTACTTGATCATCCACAAAGCCCTTGTTAAAACAAGGTTTACTGCATCTGTGTTTCTGGTTGCTTCAAGAGACCACAAACAGAACCAGATTGGGAAGAATGTGTTGCTGACTCATTACATTATCTGCAATGTCATTTAAAAATGTAATCAGTTCGTCTATTTGGTCATAAGACGTTTAATCCAATAAAATATTTGACTGCTTCTGAACCTGGTCCTTTTTTACTGTCAGTGTTGTTTATTTGTTTGTTTATTTATTTATTGTTCTACCAAAATGAACAGGCTGTTGCTGCAGAAAAGTCAACATTGAGGCATAGATCACAGCTTTTGTTTAACAAATTTTCTATTCATAAGTCATTATTCACACAAAAAAAACCAAGCTCTCTAAATCAAAGTTAATTAATTACCCCAAATGAGTTCATTTCAGTGTCATAGTTCCTTTTAAGAACAAAAATTTAAAATTATAAGAAGAAAAAATACCTTTCTGAAAATTATCCAGTTGGTCAAAGTTGAATCCGTGGCAGAAGTAATGAAATTGAAAGATTGAAGTCTTTACGGAGAGGTGTGATGAGAGTAACGCCCACAAACAGGAGGAAGTACAGCCAGCACGCAACAATCTGTTTTTTTTCACATCTCTCGTAAAGACTGATATTTAAACTACAGGTTTAGTGCACTGAAAATGTTTCAAAAATTGCTAAAACAAAAATGTGTGTTCCTTGATATGAGCAACTCTATTATCGTATTACTGTGTCTTGTCAGTGCTGGTTTGCATCGATTGAGGACTGTTTAGGTTATTTTTGTAAGAGAGGAGATTGCATACATTGCTTTTGGACGGTTTAGTTTTGGTAAGGGCAGTTGAACAAGTCTTGGTCCACCTATTTACACTTTATCTGTACCCTTTCAACGTTTCGAAAGACGGCCTTCCTTGTCACGGCAGTTTGCCTTTGTTGGTAAATGCTTGCACATACCAACTTTGAGGAACTACAAAGTGTTTGCACAAACAGTTGGCATCACTTTGCTTCTAAGGACAATCATACTGACACCATAACAGATGAAGCTATAACTGCTCTACACAACTGTTCTAAAAGTACAGACATGTTCAGGGATGGTGCCACATCATAACAGATGACTAAAAGATGGCATCAAGGAGGTCAAGCGGAGGTGAAAAAAAGAGAAAAAGAGCCTTCAACAATACTGAAAAAAATGTGGCACACGATCCAGAATATCACAGTATTAAAACACGTGCCATCCAGCTCACTGATCTCTACGGGTTCCCACCGGCTCAAACAACAATATCGTTGTTGACTTTGGAAAAAAGAAGGCAAAGAAACCTGTCCACTTCGACGTAGCTGGTGAATCGTTTTCTGTTCCTGGAATTCAGCATCACTAACAACTTGACATGGTTATCACACATCTTCATCTTGGCGAAGAAAGCTCATATTTCAAAATCTGTATACCTTATGGAAACTTGAAAAGGCAAAATTCCTGTGTCAAGGTCCTGTTTACTCTCACAGAAGAGCGAAGAGAAAGCCTCCTTGCTGCAAACATGTGCACGGCACAGTGATTTAATGCAAGGGATTAAAATCACCCAGAAGAATCATTGGTACCCGTCTGCTGAGCATCAGTGAGAGTGGTGAAGAGCACAAAGACATTGAAAGACAAAACCCACCACAGCCACAACCTGTTTCCATCTAGCAAGAGAAACAAAAGGTATCAGCTGCCGCAACAGTAGACTTCAGCATTGCTGCTTTTCCTCTTGCGGTTTCTAAATCTCCTTCCTGTAGGTCTGGATGTATTGTCACACTCACCTGCCAGCTTGATCTTCCACACCTGCCCCGCATCCACAATCTGTCACTCTCCTGCCTTCCACACCTGCTTCGCATTCACAATCAGCCCCGCTACATAAGCACTGCACACCCAGCCTGTCATTGCCAGATTGTTCTTCGCGTCATGCAAGTCTCTCCAGCACTCTACCTTGGACTGCTCTCCCGGTTTCGACCCTGCCTGTTCCCGACCCGTTCGCCTGTCTCCGCCCCGGTGAGCACGTCAGCCTTCTGTCCCCGACCACGAGTCTTGCCTGAGCGCCTCGGGTTTCTGTTGCCTGCTCCTTGGACTGCCCGGCGCCTCTGCCCCTGTGCTCCGGATCCCCGACCGGCCCAGCGATCGCACCAGCTGCCTCCCGGCATCTCCTCCCCGATCCTGAGGACCGCACTCTGCTCTGCCTCTCATTGTGCCCGAACGCCTGCTGTGAGGCCGTGTTCAATAAAAGCGTTAACTAAACACTCCGTGCCGTTGTGCTGCATTTGGCTCCGCCACACGCTCGTGTCATGTATAGTTTTATGTGAAGCACTTTGAATTGCCTTGTTGTTGAAATGTGCTATACAGATAAAATGTCCTTGCCTTAATTCCTCCTCCACATATCATATAGTTCTTGGTGTCTGTGTTTATGTTCTGTTGTGTAGCATAGTGGGACTGCAATCAGAATTTTATACGGAATTTTATATATAAATAATTAATGTGCAACTTCTCCATGTAAACATTACCCATTCATAGATTGTCACAAGGTTTCAACCTCCCCATCAGGATATAAACCCAAAGCTCATCCACACATTTAAGCTGATGGCACAGTCTTGGGTAGCAATTTGGGATTCAGAATCTTAAAAATAGACAAATGTACAAGGGGACTGATGAAACCTGGAATCGAATGGTTATTTTTCAGGGCAGTAAACTACTTACTTTACATTCTGAGCCACAGTAGGCCCTCAGGCTGTATAGATGGAAAGGTGAGAGGGCAGGAGATGCTACTTTTACCTAAACAGAAGATATGTAACTTGCACTACATCCTTATACAAAAAGCAATACATAGGGAGTAAATATCAGACTACCATAGAAATGACAAGTAACACAATATTCATTATTAACTAACTCCACCCCATGTGGGCATCCCACCTACTACAACATCATTTAACTACACACTGTAGGGTCATGTCCAAGAAGCAGTGCTAATCAGGTTGTCTTGCGTCTCTTGTCTCGTGATTTCCGATTTTATTTTGAAAATTAACCATCTTCTCGTTTCAGGCAACTTGCTCCTTGGTTGGCTTCAGGGCCGTTGTCTGTCCGGTCGTGACACATTATTTCACTTGCATGATTAGCCATGTGATTAACCAACTCTGTTAAAACCATAATGTGATAAGGAGCCGAGCAAAGAGTGTCTTGAGTGGCTGCCTCGATTCACCAACTCAGTTAAAGCAATGATGGGATTATGATGAGAATAATCAGCATAATGTGACGTATAAAAACTACCAAGTACTGACGTTGCCACGGAAAGTCTTTTCAAAGTATTTATACATAAATGACTGAGAATTTACCAGCTTCCTGACTACTGTGGTGGAAAAATGTGGGGTTTCACTAGTGTACGACGACGCTGAAGTAAAGATATATCACAGTGTAATGGCAATCTTAGGTTTGCTGCCCCTTTAGCTGGCTCGTTGTTGTTCTTTGCCATCAGGCACAGGTGGGAGTGATGTTGACGCAGACACACAAAAAGATTTTCCAGCGATGATTGTGTTGAGTTTGTATTTATGCAGCATGTATAAACAGATGAACATACCGGTTGACGTCTCCTATGATGGTGGTCTGTCTTCGTGGTCTGGTGAGAACTGTCTGGTGCTCCCCTACCTGTGCCCTCGCTTCCTGTCACCTACGTCCCTTATGTACACCCATGTGCACCTTATCGCCGCCACCTAGTGTCCAAAGTGTCAATATAAATACAGTCTAACAAACAAAATATACTTTGCCAACAACAACACATAATGGCCCCTACACACAGAAACAGATCTGGTCTTTTTGAGCTTTAATCTTTGCAAAAAACGTCCTGCAGAGTGTAAGCAGTCCACATGAGAAACAACTAGGCTACTCTGAAACAGTTGAGTTGTCTATTTAACAGATATAGAAACACAGGGGGTAGGCGGCTTACACCCCTGCTACACAGACTGCTTTCCAAGATCCAACAGACAGAAAACACAAATTAAGACAGAGGAAGAAACGAATACATATATTTAAAAGGAATTAAACTTAGGAGGAGTTCTCATGATACTCCTGCCTGGAATCTGCTCCCTCATGTATAAAGCCAGTTTAGGGATTGTTTTACTGTCACTCTTGACTTGGATGTGGTATAAGAACAGTTAATCTGTTTGCGCTATTATAAACAACGTAAATCTGTCATTGTGCTCAAAAGGAGGATAAAAAAACGTTGAAAATCATCATATTAAAACTTATTTTTTGTTACACCCAAGTAATCATCATAACATAATACCTATTTTGCATCGATTACACAAATCACAATCATCGCAACAAGCAGAACAGTGCGGCTCTCTAGCTGACAGCCTCACCATGAACTACATACTGGATCCAGGGAACACCACTTACCAAATACCGCAAAATGGATCAACACCGATCCCGGATGAGTCCCCAACTGTCATGAACTGGCTCAGACACATGACCGAATGAGGGAGACGCAGGCAGTTAACCAAAGAGAATACATTTATTCAGCGATTTGGCCGGACAATCAACACACAGTGGCAACGAGGCACAGAGTGATCAGGCAGGAACGTTGCCATGAAGGTGGAGCTTTAAATCGGAGTACCGGGGCCAGGTGTCTCCAGTTAGCAATCCCAGAAACCTGCCATTAAATAGACACATACAAGAAACATACAGCAGGGCACCGTCACAATTACACAAAATAATTCATATGAGGTGGAAGGGCTTCAGTCTTGGATAATCTTTACAAATTGTCTTGAGAGTTTGACCAAAATAGCAAAAATAGCAAAAAACTTTGATACATCAATTTATTCAACCACAGTTTCAGAATTCTTTCCTTCATGTCATGGGAAACCTTATACTTCACTATTACGGGGCAACATCTCTCTACTCTGACTGGTGTCCACCGACTTTGTTCCAGTGTTACGGCCAGACACCTCCTCCTGGAAGGCAGTCTCCAAAACATTCAAGATGGATTTGCGCACTATATCCTTGAAATCTTGTCCCATAAACACATACAGCAGTGGGTTCAGGCAGCTGTTGAGAAAGGCCAAGCTGCTGGTTATAGGGATTCCAATGGTGGTGACATGGTCTAATGTCTCACTTCGATCAGAAAGTAGAGAATTTGCCAATCCTAGTAAATCAATAATGTGATAAGGAGCCCAGCACAGGAAGAAAGCAGTGATAACAGCAGCGATGATCTTGAAGGAGCGTCTTGAGTGGCTGGCCAGGGTGCGATTTCTTTTGATGTGATGGATTATGACAGCATAACAGGAGACAATGACAGTGAAGGGGACAACAAATCCCAGGAGGAAGTTGGTGATGGTCATGGCCTTATGACGAAACAGTCGCAGCTGAATCACAGACTCGTTCTCGTAGTCGTCAGAAAGTGCAAAGTTGTTGAAGCACTCGATGTCATTCTCATCCTTATTATATAGAGCAGTGTCCCTGAAGATGAAGTAGGGAGTGCTGAGTATCAGAGCCATGACCCAAACCCCCAGACTCACAAAGGACGCCTTGCGTACATTTCGGTGGTTCTGGGCCCAGACGGGCCACACCACAGACACACATCTGTCCACACTGATCACCACCAGAATGTAGACACTGGCATACAAGTTCAGAAAGCTTATAGTGGTGTTCAGTTTGCACATGAATTTGCCAAAAGGCCAGTGGAAATCCAGAGCTGTGAGGGTGATACTCAGGGGCAGAAAGACTGTGAAGAGGAAGTCGGCCACAGCGAGGTTGAGGAACCAAACCGTGTTAACTGTTTTCTTCATCTTGAAGCCGGTCACCCAGATAACCACACCGTTGCCGAGCACACCAAGAACAAAGGCCAGGCAGTAAACAATGAGAGACATGATGTTGAGAGACTGTCTCAGCTCAGCATACTTGTCCTCATATTCATACTCATCGCCATCATTCAAAGAGACGTTCCTTCCGGTGGCGGCTGATGTATTGATGTGATAGAAAGGAGCAGCAGTCATCTTGATCAGTATTTGGGCTCTGTCATAGCAACATGGAAAAACAGTATTGATATGTTTGTTTTTTATTTAATAACAGTCTGAAATTATATAATGACAACCCTTTCATTATATTTAATTCTTTCTTAGAAAAAATATTATAAGTCTGAGAGTGTTGGAACAGATAAATCTAAACACTTGTCTTTTACCAATGGTGCTCCACAGGGATTCATTTTTGGCTGAGTTAGGATTTGGGCCAAAAATGTTTGACAAAACATTTGTCCAGTGTGAAATTCGTCTTAACAAATGCAGATAATACCCTTTTGCTTCTGTTCCTGCTCCTGTCTCTTTTTTAATGAACAGCAAGATGCAAGTATTCATATTTAAATAATACTCAAGTTTAGGAATGTTTAAAAATAAATCAGTATTCAACAATTATTTTAAATCAAGAGAACAATATTGATTTAACCTACTAAGTGCTGGAAGTAATTTCCACAAAACAAAGTTTATGAGATTCTCCAGATTCAAAGACAAATATTACACAAAAACAAAATTGGCCAGGTCAGAAAATATGACGTGTTATGTTGACATCTGGCTTGCTGAAAGACTGTTTAGTTTGAATGTTTTGTAAAACCCTTGTTGATCAACGGCAGCTGAAGCTTGGCACGTAGCAGCGTCCCTCAGGATGTTAGATAGTGATGTGTTGCTGCTGTGGTTCACTCACATTCAAGAGTGGTAATTTATATCGTTCTATCAAGAGGTACACGGCCGTTTATCAACCCTGTCTGAATAAAGTAACAAACATCAGTTTCCTACTTGTTCAGTAGGTTGCTTCAAAAGACAACAACCAGAACCAGATTGGGACGAATGTGTTGCTGTCTCATTAAAATATCTGCAATGTAATTTAAAAATTCCTCTCAGTTCCTCTCTTTGGCCGTAAGACGTGGACCTGTACCTTTTTTACTGAGGGTTTTTTATTTATTAATTGTTCTACCAATAAATAAATGCATTATTTACATATAATTATTATCTGGAAATCGTCATTTACACAAAAAGCACAGAGCTTTTAAAGTTAAGAGGTCTTAATACCCCAAATTAGTTCATTTTCGTGTGATATTTCCTTTTAAATATAAAAATGTAGAAATATAAGAAAAAAAATACCTTTCTGAAAATTGTCCAGTTGGTCAAAGTTGAATCCGTGGCAGAAGTAATGAAATTGAAAGATTGAAGTCTTTACGGAGAGATGTGATGACAGTAACGCCCAAGTGGAGGAAGTACAGCCAGCACGCAACACGTGACGTTTTTGGACAGATTATTTAATTTTTGTAAGGGCAGTCTAACAAGTCTTGGTCCACCTCTTTTACATTTGATCTGTACCCATTCAACTTTTTGAAAGACGGGCTTTCTTGTCACGGCAGTTTGCTTTTCTTAGTGCTTGATGATACCAATTTAACTTCAGTGCAACATAAAAATGAAATTATATGTTTACCTTACATAATATGAACAACATACAAAGGAATATGCAAAAAATGGGTTAAATGAAAACTAACTGTTGTATTTATGAATTGCAGATACAACACACAATGACAGGTCTCCGTTAGTGGCAACTAATGTAAGTGCAGTTCAGCTGTTTCCCATCACATGCCATGGTGAAGTCAGTTCGGCTCATAAGCACAGACATCTAGACTGATGCAGTCTGCGTGCTGTCTGTCAGTAAGCCGGTAAAACTCTGCTGACAAGTCCCCAAAAGTCACCGTCCCTTCACCTGACTTTCAGCTTTATGTCTTTTCACATATCATCCATCCCCATGTCCTCTCCACCTGGCAGAGCAAATGCTTCAATGGAATTTGGCTGCAACCTCCTGTATCAAAGGGCAGCAATGGGTTTGAAATGTTGATGATTACGTTCACATCAACTCTACAAACATCCTCGGATTTAAATAATTATAATAATACAAGAATATTTGTATATATATTTATTCCTCATGATTCTTAGAGGCATTGTGTCGCCTCGCATAAGTTAAACAAAGCAGCTACACGAGCACTGCAAATATACAGTAAGTGAATAAATAAATGAGCACAAGCTCAATCGCGTGGATACAACCACAGTGGAATAGAAAGGACCCATCTACGTTACAGTGTCCGCACCGGAAAAGTTCAGGCTAAGTTTACTCGACCGGTACTCGCTTTCCGCTTTGACATGATTTGAATCAGTGTGAAACGTGATAAAGAGCCCAGCGCAGTAAGCAAGTAGTGATAACAGCAGCAATGTTCTTAAAAGACAAGTGGCTGCGTGGATTCACCAACTCAATTAAAGCCGTAATGTGTTTAAGAGAATGATCAGCATAATATGACATCATATAAAAACTACTGATAATTACTGACTGTCACGGTGTGGTTCACTTCCTGTCTTATTTTGTAGTTTTCTGCCACTCGTGTCCCCGGGTAACTTCACTTCCTGCCTTGTCTCGTCATCCCCTGTGTTAGTCTAATAGTTTCCACCTGTGTCCAATCACCTGCACCTCCCTTGTGTATTTAAGCCGTGTGTCTCTTGTGTCACTTGTCGCGTCATTGTCTTTCGTCACGCATGTCATAGTCTCTTGTTGTGGATGTCTTTAGTTTCTTGCCTGCAGTTTTTCCTCCCGGTTCCTGTGTTTTTGGCCTTCTGACTATTAAAGTCCTTTTGTTTTCCGCAAGTCTGCGTTTGAGTCCTGCCTTCCACCCGCACCCCTGACAGAATGACGCGACCAAAGAAGGGCTCACCATACTCGCTGCTTGCAGCGGAAAACAAACTGTTTTTGGTCCCAGAAGCTATCAGCTCGCCTGCCTCGAGCTCCGGGACCTCCTTAACCCTAGGAGGAGCAAGCGGAAGAAGCGATCTCCGTTCCCGGTGGGCCCGCCGCAGCGATCTCCCGTTCCCGCTGGGCCGCCGCAGCGATCTCCCGTTTCCCGCTGGGGCGCCGCAGCGATCTCCCGTTCCGCTGGGGCGCCGCAGCGATCTCCCGTTCCCGCTGGGCCGCCCCGACTCTCACCCATGCCCCCGATTCGGCCAGTCCCCGCTCCGAGACTCCCTCCCTCCCATCCCATGGTCCTCTCCCACCCTCCCGTTGGTGATTTGAGGGCCGTCTGGGATCCGGCCCTTGAGGGGGGGGCTACGGGGTGGGTTATGGGGGGGGCTGAGCCGCCGCAGACTACGGAGGTGTTCCGTGTCCCCGAGCTGGAGCAGACTGCGGAGGTGTTCCGTGTCCCCGAGCTGGAGCAGACTGCGGAGGTGTTCCGTGTCCCCGAGCTGGAGCAGACTGCGGAGGTGTTCCGTGCCCCCGAGCTGGAGCAGACTGCGGAGGTGTTCCGTGTCCCCGAGCTGGAGCAGACTGCGGAGGTGTTCCGTGTCCCCGAGCTGGAGCAGACTGCGGAGGTGTTCCGTGTCCCCGAGCCGGAGCAGACTGCGGAGGTGTTCCGTGTCCCCGAGCCGGAGCAGACTGCGGAGGTGTTCCGTGTCCCCGAGCCGGAGCAGACTGCGGAGGTGTTCCGTGTCCCCGAGCCGGAGCAGACTGCGGAGGTGTTCCGTGTCCCCGAGCCGGAGCAGACTGCGGAGGTGTTCCGTGTCCCCGAGCCGGAGCAGACTGCGGAGGTGTTCCGTGTCCCCGAGCCGGAGCAGACTGCGGAGGTGTTCCGTGTCCCCGAGCCGGAGCAGACTGCGGAGGTGTTCCGTGTCCCCGAGCCGGAGCAGACTGCGGAGGTGTTCCGTGTCCCCGAGCCGGAGCAGACTGCGGAGGTGTTCCGTGTCCCCGAGCCGGAGCAGACTGCGGAGGTGTTCCGTGTCCCCGAGCCGGAGCAGACTGCGGAGGTGTTCCGTGTCCCCGAGCCGGAGCAGACTGCGGAGGTGTTCCGTGTCCCCGAGCCGGAGCAGACTGCGGAGGTGTTCCGTGTCCCCGAGCCGGAGCAGACTGCGGAGGTGTTCCGTGTCCCCGAGCCGGAGCAGACTGCGGAGGTGTTCCGTGTCCCCGAGCCGGAGCAGACTGCGGAGGTGTTCCGTGTCCCCGAGCCGGAGCAGACTGCGGAGGTGTTCCGTGTCCCCGAGCCGGAGCAGACTGCGGAGGTGTTCCGTGTCCCCGAGCCGGAGCAGACTGCGGAGGTGTTCCGTGTCCCCGAGCAGACTGCGGAGGTGTTCCGTGTCCCCGAGCAGACTGCGGAGGTGTTCCGTGTCCCCGAGCAGACTGCGGAGGTGTTCCGTGTCCCCGAGCAGACTAAGGGAGGTGTTCCGTGTCCCCGAGCAGACTGCGGAGGTGTTCCGTGTCCCCGAGCAGACTGCGGAGGTGTTCCGTGTCCCCGAGCCGACTGCGGAGGTGTTCCGTGTCCCCGAGCCGGAGCCGACT